TTATTTTTTTTATTGGCCGATTCTATCGGAGGGATTGGTGATTCGCTGATCCGGACCGGTTTCCCAGATGGTTTAGTTCACCCGACTGATCTGGTTCTTTAAACATTGGTTAGGATAGCCAGGTTTGGATGTTGTTCGGTGAAATTCACATGCCTCTAACTGACATTGAGTTGATGATCTGTAAACCAATAATACTTAGAATTTCAAGTGCATTTTAATCTCTCATTTTTCTTTCTCTTTCTATTAAATGTTGGACTAGCTTGGCCACTTGACTAACTGTGTTCTTCCTGGAGAACAACAGTGCATGAAAATTTTATCGTTAAAATTTCGATGTGTGTAAATGTGGTAAAGTGGGTGGAATAAATCGGTAGATGAAGAATCCAATGAGTAACTAACAAGTGATGGCAAGTTTGTAACCCATCAACAACGTTCCCTCTCCATGGCCATTCTGCAGATGGCAAGAATGAGTTCCCACATTTTCACACTACCCAAACTGTTCATACCTTAGGTTCTCTATAAAATCTTAACTGAAGTAGCTATTATTTTGGTTTGTCCAACAGATGGAGATGCTCCTCTGCGATCAGCGGCATAAGCATTAAGATTATTTTGTTGGTGGATCCGAAAAACAAAAAGGAAACATAAAACCTCAAACTTTTAAGTATATGGTTGTCATTTATACTCCGGAGCATTTGTCATATTTGTAATCCTTTGCTGCTTGTTAGTACAAGGGATGGTTAACTATGGGCATACAAGTTATGAATATCGATAGCGGATATTTAGTTTGGTTCCATCGAACATTACTTCAAACCACACTTTGAAAGATGGGATGATTCATTCATATAGGATATCTTAAGGTGGAATAAGGTGGCTATATGTCTCTTCTGACAGAAATAGTCACAGTAGTAACAGTATATTTTGTAAAATGACCTCAAAACAGGTTACCATGGACATATGCTTTATCCCTAGAGAAATTGTCAAGTATTAAATTATGAAAAGAGTATGGGGGTGTGATATTATAGTAAGGTGGAACTTTTATTAAGTGAGATGATCCACTTCAATAGTTTAGTTTGATTTTATGAGGAAGCTATTTAGGTGAGCCTAGGAGGATCTAGGTTGCATATTGCATGGGCTACGGTTTCACAAGTCCACTTATGAATCAAAGAGATTCTGTGACATTACCAATGGGGCTGTTAATTGTCTAAAGACTGGTTTTGCTGCCAGAGTCTTGAAAGCTAGGTGAAGTTATGGAGGAGAGTGGGAATTTGGATATTTCCTGATATTTAGACTTGGATATTTCAGATACTCACCTGCTGACTAATAGGAGTGTAGCTCTGATTTAGTCTTTTTGGACTTATGTGTCCTGTTTGTTGATTTGATTATTATTTGAACTATCTCAATCACAAATAATTTCATTTAAATCTCATTGTAATTGCTTGCTTCTGTCGAAGGCAACAGAGCTAGAGATAGTAGCATACCCTTTGTTAGACAAGGTGACCTCAAATATCAATACCCTAAACGTGAAACTTGTACGCCAATTGAAAAGCAGACTGGTTCCCTTGACTCGTAAAGTTCAGAAGGTGAGCACTCTCTTTTTTATCCTTTTCCCTTTCTATCAATCTCTAGGAGGAAAATATACTATAAATCACACTATGAATCTGTAATTCAGTGGAGTAAGCCTGCTTCTTACTCCTCTCAAGGCTAATCATGTAGGTTCGAGATGAGATTGAACAGCTTATGGATAATGATCGTGATATGGCTGAAATGCAACTCACAAAGAAGAAAAGCAGGATGGAAGCAACACAAAATGGGGGTGGCTTAGCCATGACAGGGTATGGTACACCACTTGGGGAGGCTTTGGTTTCAGTTCCTGCTTCCCCTGTTTCAACCACCGAGACACCAGAGCTTGCGAAGAGCTTCAGCCTACTGCAGCGCAGGCATGGTGGCATAAAGAGGTGGGATAGCAGCACAAAGAATACACAGGTGTTGGAAGTGCTTTTGGAAGCTTACTTTGTTAACATTGATAGTATCCTCAACAAATTCACAGCGGTATGTTACTATGACATCAGGGGTAATATAACGTAGTCCAATTGACTGATGAGAACCATAATCCCATGGGATCGGCACTGTTTGATTAATTGACGGGTGGTGATGGAACAGGATTTCACCCAAATGGTGGATCCTGTTTTGTCCATCCCCATTAATCATTTCCATGGATGGCAATAGACTGTGTTTTACGTTGTCTATTGGACTTTATCACTTAACCTAACACCACCTCTTGCCCTATTGTTGAATGATTGTGCATGGTTTATTTCTCCATTCCCTTTCATTTGTAGTACCCTATATTTTGATTTCTTAGGAAATCCTCATTGTTTTGTTTTATAGCTCAAAGAATATATTGATGACAGAGAGAACTTCATCAACATTCAACTTGTAAGTAACTCTTGTTCCCTTCTGATAGAATACAAGAAAAGTTCTTCTCTCCATATGTGTTATTAGGTAAATAATTTGATTCGTGCCCATTAAACAAAATGAGTGGAACACCTCAAAACTTGAAAATGTAGTTGAATATAATGGAACAATTGGGTAGATTTCGTCATGTTCTGTAAGGACTCATTGCATTTTTTTTTATATATTTCAGAATAATGTTCGAAATCAGCTTATTCAATTGGACTTGCTGCTCACAACTTCATCATTTGTGATGGCAATCTTCGGTGCTGTGGCGGGAGTCTTTGGGATGAATTTCCCTATATCATTGTATCGTGAGCCTGCAGCATTCAAATGGGTCCTCACAATCACTGGGGCAGTCGGACTCAGTATCTTATGTTCAGTTTTATGGTTTTTCAGGCGCAGAAGATTGATGCTTTTGTAGCCAAATGATAAATGGGATACAAATATGGGGTTGAAGTTGGGGTTATTTTGTATAGAAAGAAAATATTTAAATAAAAACTGGGGTGTTTTTTTTTTGTTTTGTTTTAGGGATTGTTTACAAAGAGACCATTTATTTTTTGTACATGGAAGTCATAATCATTCTTATCCTTAAATTTCAAAACAGGTGGTTGTAAGATTGTCATTGAATAGAGTGACTCACCCTAAGTCATCCAATTTGACTGAATGTAAATGATTGTGACTTTCATGTACAAAAGATAAATGATCTTTTTATAGACAATTCCACTTTTTTATTTTACATTTTTGAAAGTAGAAGCCGACTTAGGTTTTGTCTATCTATATATATGAATAGCGTTGGAATTAGTAGGGTGAAAGGGGCAAAATAAAGATGAATGAAACAAAACTAGCCCTTTACTGGTAGGTATTACCTTGTATCTAAGTTTCTACCAAACAAATTTGTCATTGAGATATGTGGGAGCAGAGGATTGAAGAAACTATCTCATTAATATAAATGCACAGGTACTACGAGATTTAGAGCACAAGAGTTGTCTTCTATTTAGAGAGAAAGTTCCCACAAAACATTGTAAGAAATTTGTATTGCTTGTATGTAGAACAGGTGGAAACAAGTCCTTATTTATAGAGAGAAGGTGTATTTCATCTTCTCCACGTAAAGTCAAGAATTATGCCGCTTGAAATCTCAACTGTCAGTGCATCACACAACTTGTATCCAACAATCATGTGGCAAGTCTTTACGTTCTAGAAAAGTAACAGACGCACTTTTGAAGCGTAAGTAAAAAGTTACATGGAACTATCTTCATTGGTAGAACACAAGTACTGGAAGTACCAATCCATCAGAACCATCCGATGGGGCACAATTCACTGGAGTGCTCCATTCCATTAGAGCTAATGTTTCTCTACAATCTAGTGGTGGTTAAAAGTTGCCTTCTATTTAAAGAGAGACTTCCCACAAAACACTGTAAGAAATTTGTGGCGGCTTAAAAGTTACTTTCTATTTAAAGAGAGAGTTCCCACAAAACACTGTAAGAAATTTGTGTGGCTTGTGTGTAGAACAGGCGGAAACAAGTCCTTATTTATAGAGAGATAAAGTATCTTTTCATCTTCTCCACGTGACTTCAATGGTCAAGAATTATGCCGCTTGAAATCTCAACTGTCAGTGTAGCACACAACTTGTATCTATCAGTCATGTGGCAACTCTTTGCGAACTTGTATCCAACAGTCATGTGGTAACTCTTTACGAACATGTATCCAACAGTCATGCATCAACTCTTTGCGTTTCAGAAAAATAACTGATGCACTTTTGATGCGTGAGTAAAAAGTAACATGGAATTATCTTCATTGGTAGAACGCAAGTACTGGAAGTACCAATCTACCGAAGCTGCACATCTTTTTGGGAGGGGCACAATTCCCCAGAACGCACCAATCCATCATAACCATCCGATGGGGCACAGTTCACTGGAGTGCTCCATTCCATTGGAGCTAATGTTTCTCTACAATATACAATATACTGGTGGTTAAATTTGTTGGAGCTAATGTTTCTACAAAATCTACTGGTGGTTAAATTCGTTGGAGCTAATGTGGTTAAATTCGTTGGAGCTAATGTTTCTCTACAATCTACTGGGAAAACGCACCAATCCATCATAACCATCCGATGGTGGTTAAATTCGTTGGAGCTAATGTTTTTCTACAATCTACTGTTAAATTCGTTGGAGCTAATGTTTCTCTTACAATCTACTAGAAAAACGCACCAATCCATCAGAACCATCCGATGGGGCACGGGGCACAGTTCACTGGAGTGCTCCATTCCATTGGAGCTAATGTTGCACCAATCCATCAGAACCATCCCATGGGGTACAGTTCACTGGAGTGCTCCATTCCATGGGGCACAGTTCCATTGGAGCTAATGTTTCCATTAGAACCATCCGATGGGGCACAGTTCACTGGAGAACCATCCGATGGGGCACAGTTCATCAGAACCATCTGATGGTGGTTAAATTCGTTGGAGCTAATGTTTCTCTACAATCTACTGTTAAATTCGTTGGAGCTAATGTTTCTCCACAATCTACTGTTAAATTCGTTGGAGCTAATGTTTCCTT